GGGGGGGAGGGGAATTGGAGTTGAAGCCAAATCCTAGCAAGACATTTAAAAATGTAAACTGCATGCATGACTTCCATCTTGATGAGCAAAGCTAAATGGTGTTTTTCCATTCCAACCTAACTTTTTAATAGTATTCTAACTATCTAAGTATAAATTTACTGTAGGGGCTTGTTGCGTCCTGGAGTATTCGAGGCAGTAGAGAAATATATAGTTTAACGTCTTAGCATTGTACGAAGATCTAGCACACAAGCAGATAAGAGAGAGGGTGTAGCGTTCCTAAGAGACACCAGAGTTTTTATGTAGAAACCCCTGAAAAAGGGGGAAAAACCATGGGGCCTGGCCCAGTTTGAACGAATCTACTAGTATTTGTAGTCGATTACAAATGAGGCCGGTCTTAGGGAGAAGGCCTTGGATTGATGTTACAAATGTACGTCAGATAGAGCGTATTACATGGTGGGAGTTACAATAATCAACATAGATGTGTTTGTTTGGTCGACACATCCATAGTCGATAGGATAGAGATCGGAAAGACTGTTGTCTGGTGATGGAGGTCGGAAGGACCGTAGTTGGCAGGAGACAGAGATCCAAAGGACCGTAGTTGGTAGGAGACAAGAATCAGAAAGACCGTTGTCTATTGATATATGTCGAAAAGACCATAGTAGGCAACGGAGGTCGGAAAAACTGTAGTCGGCAGGAGACCGGTGTCAGAAAGACCGTTGTCTGGTGATGGAGGTCGGAAGGAACATAGTAGGCGACGGAGGTCAGAAGGACAGTAGTCGGCAGGAGACTGGGGTCTAAAAGACTATTGTAGAAGGGCAATACTTTGGGAGAACTCTCGGCGTCAAGCCCGACAGAAGTCCAGGCCTCAAGTGGTGGTCTAGTAGAGCAACGATGTTAGGAAGTGGTCTGGCGGAGGGTGAGGACCTCTAGTGGTGATCCAGAGCAACGGCGTCAGACGGTGGTCCCGCGGAGGTGATGACCTCAAGTGGTGGTCTAGCAGAGCAACGGCGTCAGGCGGTGGTACGACGGAGGTGAGGGCCTCAAGTTGTGGTCCGGTGGAACAACGGCTTCAGGCGGTGGTCCGACAGAGGTGAGGGCCTCAAGTGGTGGTCCGACAAAGCAACGGCGTCAGGCGGTGGTCCAGTGGAGGTGAGGGCCTCAAGTGGTGGTCCGGCGGAGCAACGACGTTAGACGGTGGTCCGGTGAAGGTGAGGGCCTCAAGTGGTGGTCGGGCGGAGCAACGACGTCAGGCGGTGGTCAGGCAGAAGTGAGGGCCTCAAGTGGTGGTCCGGCGGAAGTCCGGCGGTGGTCGAGGAGGAGCTTCTTCCTTCTCTTCCTTCTCTTCTTCATTCTTCTCTTCTTGTTCCTTCTCTCTCTTGCATGGATCCCCTTTCAAGAGAAATGAGGGGTCTATTTATAGATTTTCTGGAGTGGCATGGCCCGTAAATAGGTGAGAGATCAAGGGTAAATGGGAAGTGGTCGAATGGATAGCCGATGTTGAATCTCTTGATTGTGGACCGTTTGTTAGACAATTGAAGATCTTAAAGATGTCGGAATTTGGTGATCTTGGGCTCGTTGGATTCGTCTCGTTGAGCCGCTCGATTCAATTATAAGCATGTCACGTTTGGAAATCATTTGGTAACCCAAATTGTGATTCGAACCTTCCAACAACGCTTCGGGTCCTTAATTTGGACCCATTTGGGCTCGGCTTGAGTCGAATTTGGTGTCGTTGGGTTCGTATTTCCGAGACGCTCAGTTCAACGTTAAGTTTGCTGAAATCGGAGTTCGTATGGTCCCAATTTTAGTTTTGAAAGTTTCCAACTTGACTTTGCATCGAGATTCGTACCCGATCAAGATAATTTTTGAGGACGTATCAAGGCTCAACTTTAGTTTTTCAAATATTCACTTAATTTTTTTTAACCGATCTTGAAATCGTCATTGATACTTAAAAATATTTAATTAACTTATTATTTAAATTGAATATATTAGCAAAACCAATACATTCAAATTCAACTCAATAAAACCAAACTCCATGCAAATGATAGAATAGAAGTAAATGATTCATCCGATCCATTTTAAACAAGTCCAAATGATGCATGCTAAATTGTATTAGGATTTAATTTATTGCATTAAGAAGTATATTTAATGATCGAATAAGATAAATGATGCTAAAAATACCAATTTTCCATTATATTCCCGTCCTTCCATTTCATCATGACTTTAGTTGAATATACACTTCAATATATCAATTTTAGGTTTCGTTTGGGACGGCTTTCTTACTGCTTCTTAATTTTTATACTGGAAAGCTGTTTTAAGAAGAAGGAAGAAAACTGTCCCAAACAAAAACTTGATGTAAGTGACGACTCTCGGAGATCAAAGAAAAGTAAAAAGAATTTGCTTAGATGAATTATGAATGATTAAAGGAATATAAAAAATTTTCTCTGTTAAAAAACTTTTTAAAAAAATTGAAGTAAAATAATTTTATATAAAAACAGGATTATAATTTTATTTAAACCAGCCCTTATATTAAAGCAAGGGACGCATTGGGTTTCAGTCTTTCAGATTGCCATTTAGAGTGGTCTGTACTATTAGCGCTGGCATTCAAGGGTTGGTCTTTACTATTTTTATTTGTCATTCTCTGATATTGATTTTATGGCACCACCGTTTGCAGAAAAACAATAGCTAAAATACAAATTGCAAAGACTTCGTCAGTCAATAAACAATTATTTTGATCGACTACTTGCAAAATTTTACAGTCAAACTGTCCCCACTATTTGAATTATTAAAGGTATAATGACACACATGACAACTTCTGCCTTAGTTTCCTTCCAATGCATAATTCTATAATATTCTTCATAATAAAGCCATATGAATAATCAATAACACTGCAAATAACATAAACTGAAAGTATAAAAGATTCAGAAAATCAAGGAACTGCTTCGTGTTTCAGCTCTAAAAGATAGATGCAAAAGTTACCTTCACCATTATCATCAGCGTTAAGAGCGATAAAGACATATTTGAACACCCCAATCAGAGTTAGAGTCCAGAACATGATACTGTAAATTCCCAAATAATCTTCCTCTGTGGGGGAATTCAAGTTCATGGAAGGATAAACATAGAGAGGGGATGTTACTAGTCCACCAAACACCACTCCCAGTGTCTTATAAGCCAGAATAAAATCTCTCCAACGCCAAACTTCCTGTTCAGAAAATATGCTCATTATAAGCATAAATCATTAATCAACCGGCCAAGAACAAAACTATTGAAGATTGAAAGAGGTGAGAGAATTTGTGGCACAATAGGAGAAGAAAAAAATTATATCTTTAATAAAATCTGCTCCACATAGTCAGTATTTATCACTTATATTTTAAAAAAATGAAAAATAAAACTCTAAAAACCAAAGAAATATAGATCAAATCAACACCACCATGAGAAAGAAACATTTATGCTAGCAGACAAAATGGATGTCGATGTCAGCGAGGGAGGGAAGAGTTGCAATTTTTTAATATAAGCACATTAAAAATAAGTAAAACAACAAAAACGAAAAAAAAAAACAAAGGAAATGAAAAGAAAAATAAAGACTTTTTGACTGAGAGCCAAAAATCAAAGAAATTTATTTTATAGTTTGCTATTTATTAATTGTTACTTGATAAAATTTCATTCATTTATTCAATCCGAAGACTCATTTGATCGTTTACTAAATTTGAATGAACGCAGAATATATGAAATAATTTAAAATTTTCTAGATTTTATAAAACTTCAAATAGAATTTTAATTTTGTAAAAGTTTTTTTTTTTTAAGTTTTTTAATACAACTTTTAATTGAGAAAGTTGCATCTCGGTTAAAATCAAGCTCACGGTAACACAGCTTGAATAAACTCTTACCCAATTTTACCAAACGAAAAAAAATCTTTATCATTATCGCTGCCATGCTAGCTTCTTCAATTAGTTCTAAAGTAGAACAAATCGTATAATTTTCCAATTTAAGAAATCTTTCAAAATCCTAGACGAAATTAAAAAAAAAAACTTAGTATCGAGTAACGACTATTAAAATATAAATTTTTAAAATATAGAAACAAAATCGGCAAATTGAACAGCAAAGGCAGCGATACTGACACCACATCCAGTACTCCGCCTGCCCGCCGGAGTTATTCCGTTCGACAACAGCCCCAGCCTCGGAATTCCGACCTCCAGGTCCAAGGCAGCTGGAAGAACATTTGAGGGCTCGCTTGTTGAAGTCAACATTGAGAAGAAACGGAAGTGAATAGGCAGGAGAGAGTAAAAGAGAACGAGAATAAGACTCTGAGGTTCACTCGAGCATTTTAGGGCTTTTAAAGACAATGGAAACGGGAGAACAGACGGATGGAGTTCTTATAATAGCTTCCACGGGACGAGGGGGAAATTATCACGTGTCTTGATCAATTAAATGAAGTTATGTGAATTTTTAATATGTTTTTTTATTTTTTATGTGACCCAATTACTCAACCTGGCCCAACTTCAGTCATTAGGGTTGCTGTTACATTTTAAGAAAAAGAAATTCATGAAAGCTCTCTAATATTTAAGGTCTGAGCAGAATAAAATTTTTAGTACCTGCTGAGAAAAAAAAATAAGAAACAAGCGACGAAGATAAAGACTGATTTGGACATTGCATTCCACGAGAAGATAAGCTCACAGAATCGCAGAGGTTAAAAGACGGTATGCAAATGTTTAGGAAGACTTTAAGATAACAAGACTACAGTCAACCATGAAGAGTTTACAAGATAGTAGTACTAAGGTTGCAATGTTGGATGTAATGGAAGTCAATTTGATTGGAGGTGCTGCAGATATGAACTTATCGATAAATTTTAAACTTCTCCCAAGTTTTATTGTATTTCTTGTAAATGTATAGTTTTTAAGGTTTAGGATGTTTTCTTCAATTATTTATATGTTGAATGTCATGAAGAAACATGTTTTTGTAACAAATATGTAAAACTTTATGTAAAGTGATACACCACGCTCAATAGTTTATGATTTGTTTTTTCTATTTTAAGAGAAATTTATACGCACCATGTGTACAACTTGAACACAAGATGTGTACAATTGAATTTATACACACCCCTGTATCAATTATGCACATGATATGTTTTTCACTTGTACATAAGCTGTGTATAATGGTGAAAACGAGGCGTACGAGTTTTACTACTGTTATGCCCATAATATTGATTTAGGATTCATAAGGAATATTACAGTTATTGGCCAAATTCAAGAAAGATAAGATGCAAGGACTTTGTATGTTCAAAATTTGGTTTTAAGAAGGATTTTGATTTGAATTCTCAATCAAAATATCAAAAAGTAAATATCATAACGGAGTGTCCATTTATAATCAGGATGTAGTGGATCAAGATGGAAATTGGAAGGTGCAAAAATTTATAGAAAGTCATAATCATGAATTGGCTAGGTCAGAAGACCAATATCTACTTACATCATGTAGGAATATTTATGATGGGAAAGTATTAGTTGTTAAATCAATGATAGAAGTCAAGATAAGAATCGTTGATGCATTTTCTATCTTGCTAATAAGATGGAGGTATCTAGAATGTTGGATTCTCTGAAAGAGATAAAATAAGTACATTCAGAAAGAGAAAAGTGTAAAATTTTAATATAGGGATACTAATTCATTTAGTTATTTATTTAAACATAAATAAATTTAGGACAATCTGTTTGTTTGGGGTATACAAATTAATGAATTTGATATATTATTGATTTTTTTGTTGATGGAATAGATAGGATAGATTATTACTACTTTGAAGATGTGATAATTTGTTATACTAGCTATAGGCTTACTAAATATAATTTAGTATATTCATCATTTATCAAAGTTAATAATAGCATAAAATTCTGCTTGAGGTGATTTTTTTTTAAAGAGAAAATAATTGAATCATTTACATGGTTATTTAGAATGTTTATACAAATAATGTTTGATAAATTTCCAATAATATTAAATAGTGATGAGGACCATGTAATAGCTAGGATCATATAAGTTATATTACATCACATACGTCATAGACTATGCAATTGGAACATCTCTAAAAAGGTTCCATAAATAATTTTGTACTTTAATAGCAACAACAAAGTCAGATGACTCTTATATAAGTGTTTGAGCAAGTATGACTCTAAGGAGGAGTTTGAAAAATATATGTTGAAATTAGTACATAAATGAGCCTCCATAGCAATGGTTGGTTGAAGAAGCTTTATAAGATAAGGAATAAATAATCAACAGTATTTAATAAAGATTATTTTAACATGATCATTCTATTCACACAGCCTATTGAGTCTACTAACAATGTGTCATGGTATTTTAAAGTCCACAAGTACTATAACAGATTATTTTTTGGGCCTAGAGATGGTGATAATCACATGGCACCAGAATGAATAGGAAGAATATTATAAATGCAACCAATTCATAGAAGTACCTCAAATAATAAGCATCCCACTACTAAAGAAACCTGTCCGATTTTGTTCAAGAATGTTTTATTCATTTTTTAAAAAAAGAAACTTTATAGGATTTTGGTGGAATAAATATAGACTATGCCTCAAGTGACTCTTCAAAGTTTTTTTAAAGAGCACAAAGAATAATGACTAGTCGATCCCTTAGGTGATGTTATTTATTTTAATGCAAAAGATGATAGCATTCAATGAACATGTGGGAAGTTTGAAATGATGGATTTATTATATTTTCAAAACATGAGAGTTTTCGAGGTAGCTAAATATTATGAAAATTTCTGAGAAGTACTTACTACTATGATGGTTAGCAAGAATTAGTAAATATATATATATGTTGGCCGCATTTTCACAGGTTTAGGAAAGATATATGAAGCAGTTAGTGGCAGGATATTTAGAAATCAAATCAACATGTTATCATATCAAATTACCATACGAGCACAAGGGCATGAGGAGGTAGAACAATACATATTGGCTGCAATGAAGGAAAAGCCCAAAAATGTAGACTTGATCATTGATGAAAAGATAAAGAATCACAATTATGTAGGTAATACACTAGGTGGGATTACAAAATTAAAAGACCCACCAAAGTGTAGGCCTAAATGCATCTCTAATGCAAGGTTGAATGTCCACTGAGAAAATTGAGAAAGCCTAAGAGCAAGATGTACTTATATATTAATTAATATTTAATATATAAGGAGAATTTATAAATACCATGTGTACAAGTTATTGCATAAGCTTGTACACACTTTATGTGCAACTTATACACAATGTGTGTTAAGGGGAGGGGCAATTTATAAATACCATACGTACAACTTATACATAGGGTTTGTATAAATTTCTCTTATACACACCCTGTGTACAACTTGTATACGATGTGTAAAAGCTTGTACACACCCTATATATAACTTATACGCAACTTGAGTATACATAATGTATAACAGTATAAGTATACATATGATGTGTATGAGAGAAATTTATAATATTATATACAAGTTGTACACATGGTGTGTATAAGCTGTACACATAATGTAATACAAGTTGTACACAGGGTGTGTATAAGAAAAATTTATACACACCTTGTGTATAAGTTATACATAAGGTGTGTATAGGAGATATTTATACGCATAGTGTATAAGTTGTACACATAATGTGTATAAGAGAAATTTATACATATGAGGGCTCTAAAAATTCATGCCCTGATCCTCTACTCTTTTTGGAGAGTTTTAACTGTGCTATGGGTCAAATTTTTAGAAAGCAGATTAAGTTTGAGTTTGTGATAAATCATTACCCAAATATTTTGTCCTTATTTTGCGAGTACTTAATAATTTGGTTCTAAGTTTCCTTATGCGCAAGCACCTATGGTTAATTACTCCTTCCAATGAAGAGAGAGCACTTTCAATTAAGGCTAGTCATTAAGCATATCCAAAGTACCTAACATATAGTAGCAACATGTAAATTTTTAAAATTTTAAAATTTATTATTTGTACACTTAAAGTTACAAACTTTTTTTTCATCATTTTTTGTTTATATAATTTTTCTTATTTTTTATTTTTTTTTTAAGATTTATAATTTCTCACTCGTCGTGCCTCATGCTTATATATCATAAAAAGGACTTCCACGTTGAGTCTGTAATGTCGAAAATACTAGAAACAATTGTAACCTTTTCGACGTTACGTTCCCAAAGCTGCTGCATGCATCTTAGAGGCGTCGGTACCCTACTTTATGTATCATATTTAAATTTAGGGAATTGTATTTTAATACAAGAGGGACATTTTAAAATATTTAAGTAAATCTTTTGCCCAAATGATTGTCGTTAGAAAGTGTGGAAGATTTAATTTGAAATTCAAGAAACACCTTATATCCGCTTGTACAAACATTACAGATTCGGTGCCATGCTTTCAAAGCATTCACATTTATATTTTATTTTAAAATTTTAAAAACGATGCCTTCTGTCTGCTTATATGTATGTCATGAATTCAGTGGTGTATTTATTCATTCATTTATACATATTTTGATTTTTAAACTTTTTGATAGACATCACATTTATAAAAATAATCACATATTTTTCAATACTATAGTATGATTATCAAATCAACTACACATTTTATTTTGAGGCAACTATAATTTTCATATGCATATTTTTTGAGGTAGTAACACACTTATCGAGTTGGCACATTTATTAAAATTATGACATGTATTTTAGAGTGATGGCACTAGGTGTGTCAATATTGGAGCCAACCCGAAAACCCGACTCAAACCCGATCTAAAAATTTCGGGTTTGGGTTGACCCGAACTCAAAGCGGGTCGGGTTCGGGTCCTAAAAACTGACCCGTTTCAAGTTTGGGTTGACCCACAGCAACCCGGGAATGACCCGGAAACCCAGCTTCCCTGCTGCCCCGTAGTCTGCTTGCCCGCTTGCCTCACGTAGCGTCGTCGGCTACGCTCCATTGTCGCTGTCCCTCTTGACGCACTGCCCCTAAACCCTAAATGGGTCGGCTAGGGTTGACCAGAACCCGAAGCGGGTCGGGTTTCGGTCCTGAAAATCAACCCGTTTGCAAAAACGGGTCGAGTTGACCCAAACCTGAATAATGTCGGGTCAGTTCCGTGTTCAACCTGAACCCGACACGTGACCCGAAATTACCACCCCTAGATGACACACATCTAAATATGATGATATGCATCTTGAGGTAATATATTTATTAAAATCATGGCACACTTTTTATAACACTGGCACATTTATCGATGCAACAACACACTTTGAAGTTGTACGCTTATCAAAGCAATGACTCGCTTTTAATGTGCTTATTATTTTCAAGATAGTGGCACACTTCTAGGAGCAACATGTATCCTTTACCTCAATTAAACATTTCTTTAATATATTATCACTAATAC